CCACAAAATATTATAAAATGACCTAAGTCATAGGTCATTTAGCTTTTAAAGTGACTTAATGACTAGTGACCAGTCATTAAAATCATTTGGGTCATTTCAGATCACTTGCCATCACTGGATTTCCTAGTACACAGGCTTCGAACCTAACAAAATTCATCTTCCAATCACAGAAGAGGATAGATAGGTATTTTGTAAAATAATAACAGAACAGAAGGAAATGACAGATATTGTAATAGATGACTATCAATTTTTACAGCAACATGGGCATAATAGTAAGGGAGGTGAATATATTCATATTGGATGGTTATTAGCATGTACGGTAACCTACGCTGAGAAGATCTTAATAAATCCACCCAAAGATTTATCAGAAAAGGTATTAGCTCATATCAAAAAAGATTTGAAGAAGTTCCACTTGCGCCAGTACTTATACGGTATTAGTTAGCAAAGCTAACAGCCTATTAATATATTTTTCATGTGTGAAATAATGGTCATTTTTTAAATTTATACCCTACATATTCCATATTTTTTCCCAACAATCCATATAATTGCAAGAAGTAGTAAGGTGAGTATGATATATATTAATATCGGTGACATTAAGAAGCTCGCAATAATAGGAGTAGTTGCTGGTAAAGATACCGTTTCTGCACTACTTAATTGCTTTGCAACTCCTTCACTTGAAATATACTTTTCAGAATGTGCTAGTCGATTATGAACAGATTGATTGGGTAGAGTATTTGTCTGGCTTCTCGAAACCATCTCATTCCAGGGTAATAGCTCTTGCAAAGCCTCTAATATATTTTCCTAGCAAAATTTTTATCAAATTCCATAACTTTATTTTCAAGACTGAGTTTATAGATGAGGGGTTTTAAATTGTTGCTGACCCAACCTGGTAGCTTTTGCGATGAATTGTTCATAGGTGAAAGTGGTGGGTTAGAGAGATCTACTATTTCATTATGCGAAGCGCCTTTCGGCTCTTTCTTTGAGATTATCTCTCAGAGGTGAGAATTTTCTTCTGTTAAATTTAATCATACTAAAGACAAAGCATCTATTTCCTAACTGGTTATCTTATGTGTCGTATTTATCCCTTTTTCCATACATTCTATTTCATGTTTTTTTGAATTAAGGTCCTCATTCACTTGCTCCAGTTTGAGCCTAAAGGATTCTATTATGGATGAGTTTATTTGGGCCGGCTCCTCTAGTAGTCCTCCCATTATATGCAAATCACGTTCTAGTTTTAGATCTAGTAACTTATCTTCCAATTCAACTACCTTAGCTTCAAGAGAAAGGATCTTGATCTTGTCAGCGGACGAAGCTTTCTGCACTAAAGTTACCTCCCTCTTTAGTGTTTTAATATTTGATTTGAGAGATTTGATTTCAATAGTATATTTGGCTTCATGCTCACATTGACTCTCAAAATGAGACTTCTGTTCAGAAATAAGTTGGGATTTAACTTTAGTACTGGACGCATTTAACTGGCTAATCTTATTTCCAATATTAGTATAGGTTCACTGATACTCCTTTTCCCGCTCATTATATTTATCTACTAGCTTTTCGCTGAGATCATTAATCTCAGAATTAAATTCAATAATGGATCTTATTTTTTTTTCAAGCTCTTGCTCATATGCACTACCCAGCCGATGTCCCCTTTTATTGATATTTTTTAGTGTATACACATTGGATATAATATTGGCATGGTTACATAGTAGGAAAAAAAGACATGAATAAATTTCAGTCAAACATTAATCGATAATTTAGTCTGCCTTCTCGCATATTAATAACAAACATTCTCCAATAATAAATATCACTTTTTATCATTCTTTACCATTATAAAATAATAAATAATATATTTTATCATTCTTTATTATCCTAAAACAATAAGTAATATTTTTTATCATTTTTTATCGTTCTAAAATATTGCTAAAAATACTTGAGGATTAATGCCTACCCAATTTTTAAAAACTCATTATCGACGAGGTGCCAGTGTTTTAACACCAGAGCAGGTCGAAGAAATCAGAAGCCTTAAAAATAAGGTCCCCGCATATATGATAGTAAGGGACTATCATATCAATAAAAATCGCGTCTCTGATATATAGGATGATAGTAAACGTCTGCAACAGAGTGGGGACTATGTATTAGCCGATATACTCCTAAAGGTATCCAACCCCAGCAAAACTGATAGCAAGAAAAAAAAGACTGGAGGAACTAAGCTGAAAGAAAAATCCAGGTCTAAGTCCATTCGTATTTCTGAACCACCTGTCTCTCAGATGCCTCTATTAGGACCAATTCAACCAATCTCCGTGAATTTAAAAAGTTCAGATATAAATAAAGAGGAATTGTATGTATTGCATGAGAAGATATCTGAAAGAAGCATAAAAAATATAGCGAAAATGAAGAATTTATTAGAAGAACACTTGCCTATTTCCTAAGAAGTTTGTCATAGCATGTCTGTAGTCTTTCACAATACTCATTGATTTCTGCATTATACTTGAGAGTGGTATATAATATTTTTTCAAGCTTCTCGTAACTCACTTTTTTTTTAATATATTATCGTCCTCACTTAAGTCCTGCAAGTCTTGTGAAATTCTATCTGGAGTTGAGGAAGCATCGCATTCAGGAGTAATGTTCGCGCAATTCACCTCAAGCTTATTCTTGACCTTATGCATATTGATTGGAATAAAAAATTCCTTACCATTACACTCTAGTCT